GTTGCTCTGGCTTTGTTCCAAACTCTCTTACGGTGACTTAGGTCCCCTCAAAACTGACTTGGAACAATTTTGTTTTATACTTTCATTACCATTTAACATAGTGTACTTGTTTATCAACTTGAGAACTTTGGAGTTAAATTTGTAGGATATTTACTTAATAAGTAAGCAAATATAGGAAAACACAAAAATGATTTAGCTTGAAAAAAGTTATTTCTTCAATTATTCCTAAACCTAGAAAATGCTACAGTAGGGCAAATGCTACTATTTATGGATCTCATAAAGCCAGGAAGTACTGTAGCTGAAAGGTGTCAGAAGAACTTTGGAATTTGGTATGGTGCACACTAAGCCAAACACAGCAGTGAAGCCCCTTTAGGTTTCCTTACCTGCTTTAGAGAAGGCAATAAATGAAGCTAATTTTAGGATATTTCCTTTTTATTCTTCCAAAGTTATTTTTCAGATTCACTAACCCAGAAGGGAAGGTGCCCTTTTGAACAATTGCTGGTATTCTTTTTCTGCCTCTCTTCCAGAAATTCTTTTCCTCCCCACTCCCCCCAGTTAAAGGACAAATTTAACTCCACAGCAAAACAAGACAAAATTTGTGCTACATGTTTTGCTTCACCAGTCTCCATACCTCAGGGCATCTTCGGTTAAGTGGAAGAGAGTTATTTTTGGAGGCCACAGTGCATGTCTTGAAAGCAGCTTATTATATGTGAATCAGACAAAGGCCTTATGGCTGAGGCAGAGCCACCGGTGACGCTTGTAGGAAAACAGGAAAAAGCTTCCCTGATGCTTCAGGTACAAAATAAGAGGCTGCAACTCTGTATGTCAAGAAGCAACCAGGCTGAAATCAAACCAGTGGATGCTGCTTGGGCTTCACCTTGCCAAGACAGATGCCAAACAGATAATAATGCTTCCATCCTGACCATAAGCCCATTGTACACCAGATTAGACCAAAGACTCACTTGTCTGGCATCCAGATACTCCTGGGCCAGCCACAAGGAGGCTGTGAGAACAGCAGCCCTCACTGCACGAACAAGCCTTTCCAGAAGAGTGTTAAAATTTACACCATTAATAAATTATGTGCTGTAGCTGGATTAAGATTTCTAGGTCCATCCAGAGTGATTAGGAATGAAACAATGCAGCTTCCTGGCCAATATTAGTTACTTTACCAGTTAGAAGAACTAGTTGACTCATTCCTCGGTTTTGCACTGAGAAAGGAAAAGCAGGCACACATCTAACTTAGGCCAAGGAAACCCTGGCTCAAGTTCCACAAAGCCTCAAGATGCCATTTGTGTGAAACAGCAGAAAGATACAGTACAAAGAATTCCGGAGAAAAGTTCTAATGCAGCATTTAGCAAAGCTGCTTGCCTGCAGCCAGGTTGGAGAATACAAGTTCCTTAGAATGCAAGTAATTTTCAGCTTGGGAAGGAATTCCTCCCCCCCCCCCACTAGCAGAGGCAGAGATCAAAGAGAACAGTCACTACCAATGTTTTAATTGGAACTTGAAATATACTTGAGGCACAAGGGGAAAATTTCACACACATAATTGATTCAGGACCAGCTCTGAAGCAGGAGAGCTATCTGGAATTCCCACTTTCAGAGACAATGGTGAGATGAGGACAAGAAAGCAGGTTCAGAGGTGGGGGGGAGCTTCTGCCAGGAAGCAGCCAACTGGTCAACATGTGAAGCAAAGGACAGATTAGATGAGGTTTTTGAAGGGGGCAAGACACCTGTTCTGTGTGTTTATGAGTTCTCAGTTCTATTTTGCTTCCAAATATTCAAGGTTATGCACTTTCCGTGCCTTGTAGACACCTATGTCAACCTGTAAAACTCTATGTACACTGATGGGCTCCATATAAAATTAAAGTATTTGGAAGATGAAGAATTGGGACTGGATATATGTGGAACCCAGAGGCAGAGACTGATAAAGTATCTCTTGAGAATGAGGGAGAGGCCCTTCTTTTCCCTGCCTGATTTTCCATCAGCAAGACTGCCATTTCCAATGCACCTTTGAGCCTGACAATTAAATGTCAAAATTAACGCAGCAAACAAATCCTTGATCTTAATTGGAAGTCTGGCCCATCGCAAAACATCCTGTATGGAAGTAAGGCAGCATAACTCATATATTCCAAAAGAGGAGAAGAAAGCTTATTTGGGAGCCACTCTCAGTAGTTATAGTGAAAGAGGCGACGTTTCTTTCTCCTACATACAGACAAACAGTACAGAATTTGAGCCAGAAGCACTTGCGTTAGCAAGAGCTCTTTTAACTTCCTTACATGATGAATCATGTTTGACTTCCAACAAAGCTAATTCAACTGGCAGGGCAGCAGCTAATGTCTGCCCCTCAAAATGCACTCCCTAGGGAGGGAGGCCAAGCAGTCTCATCAAAGTAAAACCCAAAACTATTTTTCTAGCCTTCAAAAAGGTTAGAGCTACTACTCTGCTGCCCCCAAAATGCTAGTTTTGTGTACACTGCTGTTTAACCCCAATCATCGCCATCCAAAGGCACTTAATCTACTTAATCCAAGGAAAGATAACAGGTGGACCTATTGTAACCAAGTTTGTTTCTCAGTCAGGTAACACAAGACCACTCTCAGTTCTGAGAAGACAAAAGTGGAAAGGGAGATAGTTAGAAGCAAAATCAGGGATCTAGTTCACAAACTGGACATTGCCTGTATTTTTCTGTTCTTTTGGAACAATATTGCCAATAATAGCCAAATAGCCAGTGATCTATTGGCCAACAAATGCACAATGCCAAATTTTAAAAAATAGAACTTGTAGCAGGCCAAAAATGCCTTTCTGTAGTGGAATTCCAAAACTCTGGTTTTCAATATGACTTCATACATTCTATGGGGTTGCCTGGAGTCCAAAACAACTTGATGGCATATAATCAGTCAGTCAGTCAGTCAGTCACACATTCCAGGACTGAATACCGGTTCATGAGAAATCCATCCGAAGTGAACATCCTTTCTAGCTGATCACAGAAAAAGAAACAGCCTATAGTTATTTCATCCCAGATCAGCTGATTCAGAGGCATTAGTAAAACTGGGATTATGCTATACAGTAATCCAAGGCATTCCAGCCTTCATTATGGAAGGAGCTTAGGTGCTCATTTCCCCTTTCAGTCCCATAAGGAAAGGAATTTCTGGCACCATATAAAAACTGTAAGCGTTTATTGCAAAGTTCAAGAAACAGAAGAACAGCCCCACGGTGGAGCACATACATTTGCTGAGAAGTTGGAAGATGTCTGTATCTGTATTAGTAATCCTGCCTATATTTTATTTTATTTTATTTATTGCTTTTTAATTACTCTGCCTGTATTAAAGAAAGCTCTGGTAGTTAGTGATAGGTACCTTCTGCACAATATCACAGAGAGCTGATGTTTGAGTAGAAAAGAAGGGGGTAGAAGATTGATTCCTATCTGCTATAACCAAGCCTCCTAGGTAGGGAAATGCCTGATCTTCATACAGTTTTGGAAAGATTTTCAATACATAGCAGCTAATTATGTTCCTTTTATAAAAATTGACGTAGGCAACCATATGCTGTATGTTTCTTCCATATACGAAATTAATAGTTTGGTGTTCCTCCTGTTAATTGGTCATCCCAGTGCAAAAAAAACAACAACTACCAAGTGTGGATCCACAAAGATCAAATGCTCTCCATTGTTATTTTAAACCAGATCCCAATCATTCTTCATCTTCAGAAAGAGAAAAAATCCTGTTTCCAAAGTCCCTCATCAGTAGGAAATAGTCTGAAAAGCACCAGCCCACCCTCCTGCTTAAAGAACTACAGCAATACATATATACTTACTAATTTTTTAAAAAATTGTTACCTAATGACACATATAGAAGACATTTCTGGAGCAAAGTAAACAGAAATTACAACAATATATTTAAATAATTTTTTTAAAAAATAATTTTTATTGTCAACAACTGGAGAATTAATTCAGGTCACTTCTTGGACAATTAGCAGGAAAAAAAACCTCTAACAGAAAAATCTTTCTATGGAGATTCTACATGCTGGTTAAAGTTATACCCTGGACATTTTTATTTAAGGTCATTCTATTTTTGCCAAAATAAAATGAAACAAATTGAGACATAATGTCAGAATTAATCATAAAGGAAATGAAGCCAAAATGATTGGCCAATAAGGCCTTTTCTTTTGCTGTGCAAAACATTATTGTGCATAAAAATGGGAAAAAGTTATGCTGAACCTGGGAATACTTGGAACATTAAAATGATTTTTAACCATTTGAAGAGTCCCATAAATGTCTGTCAGAAGCCACAGTTACATCAGCTAATGATGCATCCTCTCACCTGTTTTGCCTCACAATCTGTGGGGGGTGTGTGTGTGGTGTGTGTGTGGGGTGTGTGTGTGTGGGGTGTGTGTGTGTGTGTGTGTGTGTGTGTGTGTGTTCGTATTCCTAAGGGAAGGAAGGGAATAAACCAATTGTTAAATTTCTCAGAGTGTGCCATAAACATTTTCCTCCAGCAGAGGGAGCACGACCACAAACTTGGTACTGTATACTCTTCTCCCCCTACTTGCCTTTCTATGAAAAACTATTTAGTGTCCCTTCTAGTAAATTAAAAAAGGTGCTTGGGAAACTCATCTGCTTATATTTCTGCTCAAGAAAATTAAAAAATTAAAAAGAGGTACCATAAAATATTTCCACTGCATTCAGTTTATAGCTGCATAGGCAATGAATAAAAAGGGGAAAGTTTTATCTTTTCAATAAATAGTCTTTTTAACATTTGCTTTTTTAATGAAAAAAGGAGGCCGTTGTTTCACCATAAAGGAAACAAACAGCTGCAGTTTCAGAAAAATATAAGGAGGGTGGGGAAAGGGAAAGTCAGTGAACAACTATACTGATTCAAACTTGACCTGGTGTGCAGGAGTTAAGAAATTAGAATTCACTGTTACTAAGGCGGACAGGTTTTGGAATTAAAATTCTGGTGTTCATAGAAAAATACTTTTCAAATATACTTTTTTAAAGTGTTCACTTTTCCTTGATTTACAAAAATGCTACAATCTATGAACCCAATTGGCATAATAATTATAATATTAGTTATAATTAAAAAGTTATCAGCAACAAACTGTCAAGGTACAGTCTCAAAATTACTTGTTGGCAGTTTGGAAAAGCAGAAAAAGAAAGCACACAGATCTCTATGAAGAGGTCTTGCTGCTTGGAAAAAATGATATGGGAAGGGGAAATTCTGCATATATCTTGTCTTCCAGACAGCATGCACATTTCCAAACAAAATTTTGGAGGTGGCCATTCAGTTCAGTGAAAATGATCAAATAAAAAGTAGTCCAATGTCATTGATAGGAATTCCTGCTATACCTAAAAATCTTAAGCAACCAGCACTTCTCTGGAAGGGGAAGCAGAAAATCATAAAAGATACAACCACCATTGCTGCTGCCCTCATAAAGGCTACTTTGGGCTTAGCTACTGTATGCAGCCACAAACCAGCCCAACAAGCTCTTCCTCAGGTTATTTTTTAGCCTATTAAAGACCCCGAAATTGTTTGTAATATCAAAACTGAACACCCAAAGTTGGATTTCAAGATAGCATGAATTACAATCCCCATCCGTCCACCTTCCCTCAAATGTTAAGACTGAAATAATTCTTCTGAACACAATAGAAACATTAATGTTTTCTACCAAGAGAAATACATAGTTTTATTTTTCTTTTGCTCCTGATTTTACCCTTCTTTAAATCACCCTTATGTACATCCTGGTAAAAAAATTTATTTCATCCCATTATAGAGCTCCAAAATCAACTAATCTATAATCTTCTATAACAACATTCAGCAAGAGAGGTGGATGAGCTATCAACTATGGGTGCAAATCCATTCTGTATGTCTCAGTACCCTTTTCTGCAAACCCCGCTTCAATTTTATACCATGCAGTAGCTCCTGACAAATTTAACATAGCAATACATACATACTTTCCTCTTGATAGTGCTGCTTCCCCAAATAAAGTTATCTAGGAAAGAAACAAGAAACCATCATACTTTGTCATCAGTTTGCATTGCGCTGTTGTCCATATTAAGGCAGTGCAAGGAGCATTAAAGAAAGCCATGAGTGTTGGGATATTGTTTTATATATTAAGTACACTTGCAATTCTCTGCCCCAACCCAGCAGCGCTGGGTGGGAAATAATTGCATAGTTTTAGACTCTTAAAGGAGCCAAAACAAAAAACGGATCCACTACTCAAAATTCAGTCAAAATGTAACTGGTATGTGTGTGTGTATGTGAAATATCTGATTAGGAGGGAGTTCCCAGCCATCATAGCCATTTTCCTTATCTATCTGCTGGAAAGATATTTGCAACAGATGCTGCAGCACCAAAGGTAGGAATATTCAGGTGCTGTCAAAAAATACCAATATTTCTGAAGGCTGGAGGTGATGGGAAGTTAATGTACTGTATTAAAAACCCCCCACAAGGAACAAAGAATATTTTCTGTCTTATATTCCCCAACAAAAAGGTAGCCCTGTTTTTTTTATTTTCATATTCATTCATATTCTTTAGTATTTATCCGGTCAGAGTATAGGCTCAGAAAAAAAAGCCAGATTTTTTTCTGTTCGGAACAGAGGTAGTCTAGGGAAAAAAAATAGCTCGCACAGAAGGAAGGTTGTTCTCTGCAGATAAGAAAACGTTATATAGATGTATCTTCTGATGCTTTTAAAGTAGCTGCAGCAAAATCAGATAGCAAAGGATACTTGTTGCAATGCTGGTTACCATCTTTCATCTCTTCATTTTCAAAACTCTCTGCAGTGGCTTATTGCTCTTATTAAAGCCCCGCTGATTTCACTCCTGGTCTCCAAAATTCTACTCAATTTGGTTTGATTCCATCAAGAACAGCTTCATTTTTTCACAGTAAAAACCTCCTCTCAACACACACACACACACACACACACACAGAGTATGTGACTTGACTTTCCCACCTACCACATTCAGCTCCTGACAAGAGTTTTAAAATATATTTTTTAAAAAATAATCTCTGAAGCCCAACTTGTCTAAAGAAGCTAACGCTAGCTAGAACAGGCATGCTCAGAAGACTAGACAATCGTGGGAAAAGGTGGGTGGATTTGGAAGGAGGCAGCATCAGAAGAACAGGGAGGTAACTGAACTTTACACACTCTTCAGAATAGTTCCTTTCCAACAGAGTCTATGTTTAGTGTCAGAATACCCCAGAGACACAAAAATAGTAATAAAAAAGACATAAAACTGTTAATATAAAGAGCCTCCAAGTTTCAGGCATTAAGAAAAATCTGAACGCTAATTTTAATCCCTTTGAAATAAAAATAAAAAATATATTGGAGGGTGATCAAATAAGAAGAGGCCTTTGTCATTGTTTTTTCTCTAACCTTGGAATTCAAAATTCAAAGCTTTGGTCTAGAGGATTTGCTTGATTCAACAACTAAAGTCTTGCACAAAAATGCAACCTCCCTGAATTCTACCCCCACCTTCCAGGGAACTGTCCCCAACACATCACTGTAGCAGCCCTTGCTCTCTAATGGAGTTTTCCTCCACACTTCCCAGAAGTAAGGGCTCCCATAAGCAGCTTACCAACCCCAACTGGCCAACCCTTCTCCTTAATGAGATGGGGAACAGGGGCAGGGGTAGAGAAAATTATTGCATTCCCCATATCCCATGGGTCCAGATATGAAATGCACATCCTTGTTTCTTCAAAACCGATGTATCAGTGTCTCTTTCTCCTGTTCTTTGCGTTTCAGCTCTTCTTTGTAACAACATGAACAGAAATGTCCAGTCTCTGGATGCCCATAAAAACTGCAGTTGGGCTGTTTGCATTTGGTCTGCTGTACACTGTACAGTAGCCATGTTTTGCTCTGGTCACCCTGGGCACCTTTTGGAGAGCTGCCATCTGGCTCTGTGCATTCTTGATAGCCATTGCTGGGCAGAACTGGACAGGAAGAGCCATCACAATCCACCTCCACATAACTAGGTGGCATATCCATCTCTGTAGTACAGAAGTGTCCCACCTGCTGGGGCAGGTGAGAACGGCCCTGGGCACACTGCCTGGGCAGTGTAGCATAAGAGGGGAAAGGAGCACAGAGGCCTCCAGCAACTTGCCTTCGGCCATCTTGGTAAGTAGGAGGACAGGTGCTTTCCATGTTGCTCATCACAGAAGGTCGGGGAATGGTGAAGACTCCTGAGTGGCCAGTGGAAAAACTGGATATTTTAGTACCCACTGTGGCCAGATCTGAGCTCTGGAGACTATATGGCGACAGTACTGGATGGTCCATGGAGTTCAGCAGAGTCTCTTCTCCTTTGAGAGGACTGCCTTCTGAGTCAATCTTTTTGGCAGCTCCACCATTGCCCAATGCCACTATCTTCTTTTCGGCCTCCTTTTGTTTCTGCTCTGCAGAGTAGCGTTCCTCAGCATCCAAGAGATACCGGTGGATCATCTCCTCTTGGTATTGGTGGCGATGACTGGTCTTCAGCTGGCCGGCAAAGATGAACTTGCGCTCCCCTTGCATGGCAGCTCGGAGGATGCTCAAACTCAACTTGACATCGCTACTGTATTTGCAGTTATCAGGCTGCTTTTCTGTGGATGTCTTGGCTAAGCATGGCTTCTCAGGAGGAGCTGAAAAATCTCCAGAAGATGCCTCTTCCTTGCTGCCCTTCCTTATTTTTATGGAGCCTTTCTTTTTCTTCTCCAAGGTCTCCCCTTGTCCATTGCTCACCCCACCTTTGACTGTTCGGCTATGCATCAGCCCCCCCATATTTTTCTTTAGCTTGCTCCCCAGAGTTTTGCCAAAACTTCCAAGCTTATTGGCTACTGAGTCAGCCCGTTTCTTCTCCTTGTCCTTCTCCCGCTCCTTCTTTGGTTTCTCCTTCTCCTTCTCCTTACTACCGGTCTTGCTGCTGCTACCACTATTGCTTGCTGAGCTGCTACAAACCGACTCCTTATCCGAATCCCCAGAGTCTGCAGCTGATCGGACCTCATCTCCTGCAGAAGCAGTTGGAGATTCTGGCTGTGCAAGAGGTGCCTGGAGAAAGAAGGGAGAGAGGCAGTACCCACAGGAAAAGGCAGCTGTGCAGTATTTAAGAAAACCTTTCCACTGTCAGGGAAAGGGGAGATTGGAGTTGGCTGTTCTGTGTCATCTGCTCTACAGTCAAATGAACTATCTGTCTACGATCGGAGCACCTTTTCTTCAAAGAAAAGATACAAATGAGACAAGTAAAGTTTATAAAATTCTGGATACCATGAAGACACATGGTCTTTAGTATATAAAACTCTTTAAAACACAGCAGATTCAGTAAGTTCAAAGCCCCACATCACTGGCTCAACAAGGCACTTTTACATTAGCACAAGAAACCCTGTTTCATCCAATTCTGCTTAGCACAATTATTTCCTCTCTCCTTTGCTTGAGAATAATGGATTTAAGTTACAAAAGATTCTAGCTGAATATCTGAAAAAAACTTAAGAACTGTTTGACAGTGAAGCCAATTATTGAGAGAGGTATGTTCAAGCGGAGGCTAGGCAGCCATTAGTCGGAGATTATTTAATTTGGATTCCTGTACTGAGCAAGCGTTGGACTCAGCAGCTGAAGTCCCCCTTCCATATCTAGAATTCTATGACTCTAGGCAGAACAGGGAGAAATTTTGGAATATCCCTCCCGTTACATGGAATATGATTTCCTTAATAGTTCTTTACCTGCATTTCACAAGGCAGAGTGATCCACTTTACGTTCATGTAGCTGTGCAGCAAATGCAACTTGGCTTCCAGCGAAAGTGTCACGCTAAACAGGCAGGGCCGTGACGAAACAAAGACCAAAAACAAAATGATGCCATTGAGTTAAATCAGAGCTCCCAGTCCCTGGATCTTGCAGAAATTCCAAGTATGAAATACCATTTGAAACAAATAACATCCTGGGGAATTTATTGTAGATTTCAAAACTGGAATATTAGAATTGCTCGCCTTCTTTACTACAATTCATATTCCAAAAGACTGCCTCTATATCATCAGCACTTTTTGCCTTCACAGCCTAAACTCTGATCTCCTGCATGATTCTTTACACCTTCCATTTCCCACTATTCTTTTCCAAGACCTGCTTCTCTGAAGGTCTGTCTGTCTTTCCTTACTCCTTTCCAGCTCCTTGATACAAAATCCAAAAATGTAGAAACTGTTTGTTCCAAATTGAGCTCTCCATTTATTTACCTTGCCAATTTGATGTTATCGTTGTCATCTTTACCCCACTCCCAGTCTTTCCCGGGATCCACCGCGAAGTGTACCGGAAGCAGTTTGTGTTCAGAGTCTGTCAGTGGGATCACAGCTAGGTTGAAAAAAAGGAATAGTTCCTTAGGGCCCCAAAAACAGAATTTGGAGTTGGGAAGGCAGGAAAACTACCAGCAGAAGATAGCCATACATTTAATAAAAAGGAGCTATGAGGGGATCATGGAACTTTCTACCTGATGTTTTTACAAGATCCAATACAGGGAGCAAGGACAGAAGAAATCTAACAACCAGAGCAGCAACCCATTTTTTACGCACCTTGTTCCTTGATGGGTTCTTTTTGCTCCATGGATACCAAGGCAGAGAAATGGGCTTGATCATAGGCCAGAACCAATGGGGAACGATGGCACTTGCTGGCAGGAACTTCCAAGGGCAAATAAATGCCACCAAAGGGTATAGGAGCAAATGCTGGAAAGGAGACAGAAGCATATTGTAAAACTAAGTACCTCAGAAACCAGTACCATCACCGAGTGAACAGGTATAGCAAACAGGTAGTTGGTGGGGGAAGTTGGCAAAAGAGGGAAGCACTTATGTTTTTGTTTGTTCATCTGAAGGACATGGAGACAGAGGAAACTCTCTTGTGATCTGTTCAGTATATATGTTTTTTCCAGAAGATTCTAAGAATTATGCGTGCTGCAGATGCAGGCTGATGCCTTTCTGGGAGAGAAGCAAAATTGCCCACCCCATAAGCTGACAAGGAATTCCTGGAATGGATGCAGGAAGCACTTCAGAGGTTCAATGGGACCAAAAAACCTCTCAGAACATAGAAGAAAGCTAGGTGGAGGGGACAGAGAGATGGAAGAATGAGACATAAAGTTCCAAGATCTTCAAAAAGAGCTCCTGTTCCCTGGAGTTTCAGAACAGATCTCCAGGCTCCCTTGCTGATGAGCTTTCTAGACCCCTGGACCAAGAACAGCCGCCAGAGGACTCAGGGATTGAGGACAAGGGTTCTGCAGGCTACAACACGGAGATAATCGGACGGCAAACACTTTACAAGACAATATCAAGTTTCAGGAGGATCCTGATGAGCTGTAACAAGGACAAAACCAAGCTAGATACATTTCAGTAGGGGCAAATGCAAGGCCCACAAAATTGAAAGTAGGGGGAGAACATATTGAGCAGCAGCACAAGCAGAAATGATCTGGGTGTCTTGGTGAATCACAAGGTGAACATGCTAAAGTGGGTTGCAGTTGTAAAACGAGATAGGGAAAGCAAGCTGAGCAGGGATGCTGGAATCCCACCCCCACTCCAGCGGGCTACACGCCCAGGAGGCAGGGAGGCTTAGAACGGAGGAGCCACCAACGTTTCAAGCCGCTGCTCAGCTCCTCTGCCAGAGGAGTGCCTTACAGGGGTTTTCAGATTTCCCCCCTCATCACCCTGAGCCAGATCCAGTCCACTGTGAAACTTTGATTTTCTTTTCTCGGCTCCTTCCGCACCAAATTTGGTCCCATCCTGTTCTGTTTTTGGAGAACTATTGTGCTTAGGGACTCAAAGGCCGATAAAGTCCTAGTCCCCTTTAAATTATTTCCAATATTCTGTTCAAATGGGGGGGGGGGAAATCAAAAGCTAAAAGAATCAGGTTGTATCAACAGAAGCACAGCATCAAAATCAAGAAAAGTAATCATTCCTTTCTATTCTGCATTGGTTAGTTAACACCAAGAATATTCTATCTAGTTCCGGGCACTGCATTTTAAGAAGAGCTGATGCATCCATGTGTGTCCAGAGGATAGCATCCAAGATGATAAGGGAGCCTGAAGTCGAACCCTACAAGGCAATGGGTATGTTTAGCATGGAGAAGAAAAGACTGTGAGGAAACACAGTGGCTGCCTTCTTCAAGTATCTGAAGGGGCGTGATGGAGAAGTCGGGACAGAACTATTCAGAGCTGCTCCAGAAGACAGTGTGTTCAAATTTCAGGGGAGCCGTTCCGCAAAGGAACCGACGGCCAGCGGAGGTGGTGGGCTCTCCTTTGCTGGGTATGTTGGGTGACCATCTGCGCTGGATTTCTACGCTGAGCAAGAGGCTGGACTGGATGATCTATGAGATCTCTTCCAAACCTTATATTCTGTGACTCCAAACGAAACCCAGAATAACCCTGCCAGTGCTTACTTGAGACTGCTCTGTGTGTCAGTGACTGTCCTGGCCTTGGCTCCTTCGAGCCAGCCCTCGTATGTCAATATCACTGGCAATAGAAACAGTGTGTTCGGACAGCACTTTAAAGAAGCTTCCCTCGGCAGGAGCTGCTACTTTGGAAATTCTTCTCCCAAATCAAGCAGCCTACTGAAAATAGCAGCTGGCCCTACCGAGGGAGAGCACAGCTGCCCTTTCTTAAAGCGTGCTGCTGCAGCTCTTACCTTCTCCTCCAGAATCCCGCAACATAGTGTCTGCCACAACCACAATGGGCCTCTTCAGCACATGGGAAAGTACAAAAACATGGAATTCTTCCAGGCTCTCATACACAGGCTCCTCAGATCCTTCAACACTGAAGAAAACGAAACGAAGCGAAACGAAACAAAAAACGGGGCACGAAATGTTTAACTTTCTGCATACTGAATCGCACACCCCTCCCTCGTGTCGGTCAGAAGAAGGCAGTCACACTATGGATTTGAGCCAGCAGCTCTGGTAATAAGCACTGGCTTATTACACACATATTGCCAAGACATGTGTAAATTGCCATTCTGTGGGAATTAACATAGATGGTAGGACGAGGTGCAGGTTTCCACTGCGTGAGAATTTTAGCCTTGCCTTCAAAAACAAGTGCATTTATTTCCCTTTTGAGTATCTCTGAATTCTGCCTAGAAACAAATGATCAGAATTCCTGCTATAAGAGATCTCCATCCTTATTCCTGCATTCAGGGTCAGCCAAGCTTTTTAGGGACTCACCGAGTATTACCCCCACACTGAAGTCCTGGGCATTGCAATATTTTGCTTAGCGAAAAGTCCCACTTACCCTCCACAGTTCCCACTGCTGGTGCCGTAATGCATACGTGGCTCACTCGAAGCCAATTTGATCAGCTCATTCCACTCCTTTTGCCACTCTTCTTCTGTGTATACTAGGCCAGACTACAATATTGACAGGGACAGTGAAGAGAATAAGAAATCTATATGCAGATAAAACAATTCTCACTCTATAATTCTATTTTCGAGGGACATCTCTACTTCCCCAGTACTGGTCTGGGAGGAGCTGATGATGAAGCAGGGAGGAACCAAATTAAGTGTTTAAAAAAGAGACCCCATGTTCGACAGCGGAGCTTCAAAAGGGATGCAGGGCTGAATCTTGGACCAAAGGATCCCCTTTTCTAAGCAAAGTGGAGTGCCAAGTCTTGCCTCACCAGTTCTCGAAGGCCATTCCAAACCATTACCTCTTTATTTTGCTGGGTCTGCTGCCACCTCCAGCGCCGCTTCAGGGCCTCCCTTTCTACTCCTTTATCCATAAGGGCGTAAAGGCATTTGCGGAGCATCAGATCCCTGTCGTGGAAACCCCACATGCCTGAAGGTAAGGAGGAAATAAGAAATAGCCTCCTCTTAAGGCATGTTTTAAAACTTCTTGAAGGGGTTCTGATATTGCCTATATCATAGCGTGCTTGCTTTGATTTTGGCTTACTTTGTTAGGATGAACACAGCCATTGTGGTTTATTCAGGAAGCCTAGCTGGCTGAGGAGGAGGATTATCTGGGATAAATAGCCTGAGAAGAGGGGTTCTAAAGGCTACTCAAATTGACTATGTGGAGGAACTGGAATAACTGAGGTGTTTGTCATTTTTACCAGGAAAATGTAAACATCAGAAGCTGTTGCTTTAACAAAAGGAAAGAAAGCCAGGGCCCAGCTGCCTAGCAGCAGAAAGAACACACAGAATAAATGTGTACATTTTTACTACTGAAAGGTCTTACCTAGTGATGCAGCATGCAGCAGGCAATTTCCATCACCCGTTGTTGCCAAGGGAAGCAGCCTTTGGCAGTTGGGGTCCACATTGGCCCACCAGTTGAGACGACCTAGGCGAGGGGGGAATACACATGTGTACTCAGCATTTGAGAGCTTAGGAGCTGGAGCATTTCAGGTGCACACTGCTATCATCATCTGGCCTAATTTCTGCATTTAAAGAGGAGCTCCTTGTCCAGCGTGATGGTGATCGCTTAATCGTATGGTGGAAACAAGAGACTCACCAACTTAGATTCTTAGCTATTATGCTACAACAGCTACCTGAGGGACCAAAGAGGTGAAAGGATGAAAAGAGAAAGACTCAGCTGGACTTTAAAAACAAACTGGAAGTGGAGATTACGGCACTGTGCATTAAGGAGACCATGGCAGAGTCCTCTGGCACACAAATCAAAACACTTTGCAGTGTTGAAAGGGGGGGTTACCAGCAAACCAACCCAAGCAATGTCTGCCTTATAATTAGAGCAAGACCTTTGATCCTGCCTTAAAAATGGCAAGTAGCTGCCCCAGCTTGCATTCTTTTTAAAAAATGGATTAAAGAAATATCAAGAGTCACCCAGAAACACAGTCCAAAGCAACATTTCTCAAGAACATCTCAATACTACCAGAAGGTTCAGAATAGGAGCACCTTTTGATTAGAGTGATTAATCACAGGTCTATCCCTTGCTTTCCCTGAAATGGCATATTTAGCAGCCTGGAGACCAGCAAACGTTCTTCCCTCCTCCAAGAGAAGGGATCTGACTGTGTGATGGAAACCTATATGATTGGCCCTTAGCCAGCCCACCCCTGGTTCATAGGCAGACAGGCCATTTCCCATTTTGATAGCATCCGGCACAGCCAAGTCCCAGCCTGTCACTGAACAGCAGAATTCCAAAGAGCAACAGAGACAAAACCACATCTGAAGGAAGCTAAAACAGTATTTACTGCAAAAGAGCTTTTAGAGTTTTGTCCATGTCTTTTGGATTTGTCATCCTTTTTCTGCTCCAGTTTTCTCTCTCTCTCTCTCTCTCACACACACACACACACACACTTGCATGGGTGCTAAAGAGGCTTACATCACTGCCTTCCTAAGCAATGGCAGGTTAAGTCTGAAAGCGACATAAAGGCATTCTTGTTTGCAAGACCTCCCAAGCCTCACAGCCAAGAGGATGTATGTGCAGCTGCCTTAACATGTTTTCCAGGTAGGACAAAGCCTTGATTTTAAAATCCAAGTAGCCTTAAATCCTCTGTCAACTTAAGGGGGTAAATCAGAGGACGCTGTGGGATGAAAGGGAAGCCCCAAGTGATGCAGGAGGCTTGTGATTAATTTCCCCCTGCTTTTTATTAAATTAAAAACAGCCAGGGATTGAGGCACCCGAGAGGGAGCTACTCTCTTCCCTGCTTTCTTCCATTTAAAATTATATACTACTCGTGAGGTGGCCATTAATTACTCCAAGGAAAAAAGTTACTCTTCTTCCTCTGCAGCTACTCACCACAGGCAGGGGAGGGTTCACATTAACCCTTGGAAGTCAGCCACACTAACCAATTTAAATTTTGTTGGGAGAGTGCATCATTGATTTCCCAAATTATATGGTTATTATAGAAGAAAGCTGATTCCCTCAGATCTCAGGAACAAATCTAAGGTGTGGTGCTGGCCATTAATGTCTGAGAGGCTGTGAAATTTCAAGAATATGGTATTTTTCCTCTCCCTAGTTTCTGAGAATGCTGCAGTGCGGTGCAATTCCCCACCTGCCACCCCTCAAAAACATGTCAACAGACAGAGAAGGAAGAGGAACCAGAGTGAGTGTACCAAGCCAATCTGAATTCCAAACTCTGAACTTCCATAGAATATAGGATGCTTTAAGTCAACATGTGCTGAAAATCAAAGCCTCAAATACTTCCTCCTATTTCATATATGAGGTTATGGGGAATTTTGAATCAAAGTGCACTGGTCCTTAGTTCTAAAAACTTCAGGGCCAAGTCTTCAGATGGAAGCAATAGGCCAAAGATTGTATATGAGCATATGGAGATTTTATCTTTTCTTACAGCTTGGTAATCAACCACAATCATAAGGACAGGGGCCCAGGAAAGTTTAAGCCTTTGCATTTCATTTCTGAAAAGCAGCAACTATATACTCACCAGCCTGCTCCAGTGCCACCAGCATTGATTGCTCAATGAGATCCCGCTCAATGAAGTTACGGAATTCTTCACTGTAAACATTCAGGTCAGGTAGCTGGAAGGTGCAGATAGGCATCTCCAAGAGGTGTTCGCTGCTGCTGCTGCCATTGCCGCCATTGCTGGAGACGTGGGAGCGAGCCAGTGAGACAATGGTGGAGCTGGCATGGGAAATGCCTCGGGATAAACGTTTCTCTGAAAATAGAAGAGAAAGGGAAATGACAGAATGTTGCATATGCTGTATCCTTATTCTTTCCTAACTGTAATGGGCATTCAAACATGTTTAGGGAAAATTCACCATTTTCTAGGTGCTGACTTGCTTTCCTTGGGATGCAAATAGCGCCTTCATCCATAAACCTATCATTTTCAGGGCCAGGAGTTTGTGCGTGGTGGAGGAATGCAGACCCATGGTGAAATGACCTTCACTTTTATTTAAATTACTTCACTTGCTTGAGGAAAGCCTAGAGCAAATCAGTATGACAGCATGAGTTGTCCATCTCTTCCTGGGATAAGCTCCAAAAAAGAAAAAGGGATGGAGGCACTCAACAAACTGAGATGGGACACCTACCACATGATTCTCCAGTTTATTTGAGTTTTAGCCTCTTGCTATGGCTCAGGGCAGCAACACTTTCTCATTAGGATTCCACCAACTGAGGGTGGAAACTCTGGCGGACCTCAACAATAACTTGTATTTCCCAAGGAAAGTGTGGTTCAGGAGTACATAGGACTTAAGAATCCTTAAGAACATTGCTACCCGCTGTGGCTGATATGTTTCTTTGAACAAAATCCTCTTACCTTGAATTATGTCATCTTGGCGCTGCAGCTGTGGCCGGATGCTCCGGGCAATCTCCTTCTCCACAAATTTGAAAGTGCGACCTTCATTGAAGGAACGGGGCAAGACCCCAGCATGAACCTGCCTCAGCTGCTCAAAATCATTCAGTGCAGCATTCAAGTCCCAGTTTTTCCCTAGGAAGAGAAAACAAGTCTATGCAGGTTAAAAAGAAATCCAAGCCAACCTCCTCTTTTCTTTTGTAAGAAAATTTGGGAATCATCCTCATCTAAAGGAAATTTCCCATACCTCAGCCCTCCATCCATGTTTTCTCTAAATTTCTAGAAAAAGATGCCCCCACTTTTCTGTTCAAATCTTCACAGAATCCTCATAAGCAGATGTATTTCACAGCACGCAAATTGTCATGGACTGAGACTTAGAAGATACCCACTGCAGAATAAAATCCTACAACAAATCCCTACTTCAAGATGGCAAGCTTTGGGGGTGGGGTGGGGTGGGGAATAACACAAGACGTAGATATTAATAAAAAGCTGGGTGAGGCATTTTATGAAATGAGCACATAGTTCTGCAACTCAAAAACAATAATGAAAAGGCAAGAGACGAGGTTGGTGGCAGTGAAAAGTAAAAAGAATCTAGTTTTTACCTTCAAGCAAGTCTCTTGCCAATCCTGGCTCTGCCCCAGTTGAGCGGACAAAATCTGAGAGGACGACATCCATATCCAGGGTCATGTGATCATGAATTCCTTGCAAGTGACTGGAACTGCTGGGACATCTAGTTGGGCCAATTTTTCACTCTAGATGAGAAAAAGGGAGAAGATGCAGTTCAGTTGTTTGTTACAAATACTGAAATTAAAGGTGGTCAGAGATACTTGCCTGTTTGACTCAAGAGGAGCCAAATGAAGTTGCACCCTAACAGCACTGTCTCTCCCTGACCCCATCCACAAAGACATAAGCCCTGACTGGCAACACAAAATTGAAACAATAAGGGAACCTGCTCACATCTGATGATACTTTAGCTAGAGCTGCCTGACATTCTTGACCAACACAGACCCAGCTCCAGTCCAGATAAGGGACTACCATCACTGCTTCAGGACAACAGTTTGCTTTTTGCACAAGCCACCTGCCAAAGAGCAGGTGGCAGAATGATCAGCATGCACACCCCATCATGAAATACAGGTAGTCCTTGTTTAGTGACCACAGTTGGGACTAGCAACTTGGTCATTAAGCAAAGCGGTCACTAATTAAAACCACAACTGTGCTTATGATCTTACTCTAGCTTTCCTTTGCTTTACAGGCCAGCAAAGATCGTAAATGCGAAGACTGGTTGCAAGATTACTTTTTTGTCACTGTCATAAGTACAGTCGCTAAACAAGTCAGTTTTAAACAAGGATTAGCTGTAGTTTTCAAGATATTATGCTTGACACTGCAAAACAAGTGCTGCAAAAGATAATTTTAAAAGTACAGAGTAAAGACACCCTTGAATTCTCATTTCTCCTGGGCGAGGATAACTGGCAGAGTTATCTGCAAGAACTTCAAAAGGTCAAGAAAGCTAATTAAAATAAAAGCATAGAATAAGAAACAGCACATGGACATTTCCAGAAAATATAAACTGGGTTCCAATAATCAAACATGAAATTAAACTAGGAGAAAGAGGAAGCTCTTTCAATCAGAGTGGCAGAAAAGCAAATGAATATTTGTCTCAAAATGGATTCAAAGTTCTCTAGAACCTCTGCCCTTACTTACCAAGAGGAGCATTCTATAGTGCAATTTCAGAGGATGCTCACACTAGAAAGAAACTTAATATTTCTGCATGCTTTACATCTATCCTTGTAAATATTTCCACTGAGATTAGTAGCACATTTACTTGCATTAGTCCTTTTTGCTATGAAAAAGATTAATAGTGCTGCCATAAGGTGACCTTTCTCCCCACAATCTACCACCCAATAGCAATTTTGAAGACTGTTTTGCTAAACAGTGCTTAGATGTGGTGGACAATTTGCAGTCTTAGACCTATCATTATAAGCTGTCTACAGCTGACAGGTCACTGCCAAGAGAGATTTGCCCTTGCCCTGGAAGTCTGAAAAAGTAGTAGACCAGAAAAAAGGGAA